CATGAAATCTTTCTGCAAGACAGTGACCAATCTCTTCTGGTCATATGACCAAAGTAAGTAAAGCAGAGCTTCAAAATCCTAGCCTCCAAGGAGAGACTTGGTTTCACCCTCTCCAAGACAGACCTATGTATTTGTTTTCTTGGCAGACCATGGTATGTTCAACACTCTTCTCCAGCATCTTTGTATCTAGACTGACATTGTTGCTCTTCAGCACTCTGGAGAGGTTCATGACAATAGATTTTCCCACTGCAGTTTGTCTTTTGATTTCCTGAGTGCTGGTGTTAAGAGTATTGATTGTGGATCTGAGCAAGCTGTAATTGAGGTCTTCAGGTCTTCTTCACTTTCAGCAAGAAAGGTTGTGTCACCTTTATACATCAAGCAATATAATTAATATTATTGTTGTTGTTGCTCTGAAGCCTGCCCTGTCCTGAGCGAGTCTCACTGATTCCAACACACCTATTCCCATTACCCTAGTCACTGTGTAAATCCATCTCATCTGGGGTCTTCCTCTCCTTCTCCCTTCAGAGCATCATGTCCTTCTCCAAGGACTAGTCACTCCTGGTTATGTGCCCAAAGTATGTGAGATGGAGCTTCAAAATCCTAGCCTCGAAGGAGAAACTTCGTTTACACAAGTAAAATCTTGCCAAAGATGATTTTAAAAGGATTATTACAATAGTACAGGTCATATAGCCCTGGTGTACAAGTTGCCATACTGTGGTCCCTTTTGATTGCTGTGAGGCTGAACATTGTGACACTGATGTGTCAAATGTGTTAATGGTTGGCTACCCAATGCAGACAGAGAGTGGGTGGAGCTCCCCGATTAAAACAAGTTTGGAAGGAGGAGTGGAATCCACTTCCGTAGTAGCTCGCCTCTGGAAATCCTCTGAAACTGGAGAGAGGATGAAAGGCACCCAAGCGTTGAGGACTCTCTTTCATAGGGTCGCTATGAGTCACCTGCGACTCAATGGCACTTAACAACAACAACAGTAGTACATTTCCAATGAACTGCCAGAAATTCAAGCTGGATTCAGAAGAGGATGTGAAATGAGTGCTAACATTACTAATATCAGACAGATCTTGGCTGAAAGCAGAGAATACCAAACAGATGTTTGTCTATATTGACTCTGCACAGATAATTGAACTCTGTGGATGACAACAAATTATAAGTAGCACTGTGAAGAATGGGAATTCCAGAGTACTGATTTATACTTATGTGTAGCTTGTACATAAACCAAGAGGCAGTCATTCAAACTGACCAAGTAGCTAGAGTAGTTTAAATTCCATAAAGGTATGCACCAGGGTTGTATCCTTTCACTAATGTTATTTATTCAATCTGTGTACTGAGCAAATAATCCCAGAAGCTGTACTATGTGAAGAAGAATGTGACACTAGGATAAGGAAAAGAAAATTTCCCTTATTGAGTTCACTGTATAGATATAGCACTTGGCTGTTTGAGGTTTGACTATTATATAAACTGGTAGGAGCATTTTTTACAATTCTTTTGATGGATAATGTTATTCTGTGGCTCATAGTGTCTCTCTGTACAACAGCTCTGAAACTTGCTCTATCCTGAGCCAATCTCATCATCTCCATCAGACTCAATCCCACTTCTCCAGTCACTGAGTCAGTCCATCTCATCCAAGGTCTTCTTTTCTTACACTGTACCTCCACCCTTCCAAGCATGATGTTCTTTTCCAGTGACTGGTCCCTCTTGGCCATGTGCTCAGAGTATGTGAGATGGAGCTTCAAAATCTTTGCCTCCAGGGAACAACTTGGTTTTACTTTCTCCTGTGTAGACCTGTGTGTCCTCTTAGCAGTACATGGTATATTCAATACTTTTCTCCAGCACCAGAACTCAAAGGCATTGATTCTTCTTCTGTCGTCCTTAGTCATTGTCCAGCTCTCTGATGCATAGCAAGTAATTCCAAAGACCATGGCCTGCATCAAGCGCACCTTAGTCTCCAGTCTGATGTTATTGCTTTTCAGTACTCTAGAGAGGTCCCTGACAGAGACTTTCCCAATGCAATTAGTCATTTGATTTCCTGACTTCTGGTGCCAAGAGTGTAGATTGTGGAACCAAGAAAGCTGAAGTTTATAACAATCTCAATCTCTTCTCCATCTATCATGAAGCTACCAATTGGCCCTGTGGAGAGAATCTTTATTTTCTTGATGTTGAGCTTCAATCCATATTGAAGACTGCAGTCCTTGACCTTCTGGAGCAAATGGCCTCATTTCCTCCTCAATTTCAGCAAGCAGGATTGTGTTATTTGCATAACACAGGTTGTTTGATGGATAGATTTATTTTTAATTTATCAAGCTTAAGACTAAGAGAGTTTTCACCAAATCTAATGTCTATCAAGTGGGGTTTTTCTCCTATTTTTTTAAAAGGTGAAAGCAAAGATATTTTATTAGAAAAGATATGTCTCAGAGAGACAGAGACACTCTGAGTTGGGTCACTCTCTGGAAGTGAATGACTGGAGAAAGACATTGGGTTATGTGAATTGTGCATTAATCTAGCTGGCTGGCTCTGCATTTTTATGTTTTTCTAGGTGTGAGTCTGAGCCAGTGAGAGGATGTGGGTGGTTTAGGTCCATTGTTCTTGATGCCACTCATGTGCCTATATGATTTGGTAGACAGAGTCCATTATTTTTAGCATCACTCATGTCCCTAAAACACTAATTAGACCTCTTGGCATAGGGGACCCCCTTTACCATGCATGTCACTATGCTGTTTTCTGGTTTTGATGACTCTTCTCCAGCACCACAGCTTCAAGGCATTGATTCTTCTTCTGTCATCCTTCATCATTGTTCCTCTCTGATGCATAGCAAGTAATTGTGAAGACCATGGCCTGGATTAGGCCCACCTTAGTCTCTAGGTTGACATGCTTCCTTTTCAGTACTCTGAAGAGGTCCCTGACAGCTGATTTTCCCAATACAATTACATCAAGTCTCAATTTTCCCTTTAATAAAAATTTAAAGTACCTGTGAAGTACTTCACAGTGTTTCTGGGATAAGTTAGCATTTCAAAACAAAAAAAAGGGGGGATATAATCTGGTTTTCATTATTATTTTCATCTCTGAGTGGCTCAAACAGTTAAGTGGTTGACTTCTAACTGAAAGGTTGGCCAATAACTAGTCAGAAGTGCCTTGAAAGAAAGGCCTGAAAAACTGCTTCTGAGAGGTTCTACCTTAAAAACCATATGGAGCAGTTCAGCTCTAAAATGTGAGATTACCATGAGTATTATCAAACCCATGAATGCTGGCTTGGTTTTTATTTTCATGAAATAATCCTTATTCTGATTCCATTTTTATCCTCCAGTGAATGAATATCTCTGTAGGCATGATCATACGTCATTGTTGTTAATTCAGAACTGACTCATCTCTGACCCTCCAGCTGGTTATCAAAGGCTGTACATTACCCACAGGAGAAGATTGCCCATCTTTCCCTTTGGAGCAGCTGATGAACTCAAACTGTTTGCCTCTGAGTTCATAGTGCAGCTCCTTAACACTCAACCTCCAGAGTTTCCTGATTAAATCACCTGAATTGTTGTAAATACAAAACTATATGAAAATTCCTATTTTTAGTGACAAAAACTATGCAACATATTCACGGGGAACCTGCTGCCTTAGAGAAGTGTAGGCAGGACCAATAGGTCTTTGGACAGTGTAGATTTTAGGATGGGGCCCACAAATGAATAATTCATAGCCCAGAATAGTTTTTGTTTGGATAGCTACACAACACGCTATGGACTCTACCACCAGAGCTTTTTCTGAATAGTTTTTGTTTGGTTTAAATGTAAAATAAACATTAAATTTGTTGTAATATTAAAAAAATGATAGTTTATATAAGATTAAAATCTTTGTATTCTAAAGATCATTCAAATATTGGACTGCACTGTGCCTTTTTCCTACAGAATCAATCAGCTCGGCTTGAAATGGCATTTCTTTGTTTCACTAAGACCCAGGACTACTTACTACTTATTGTCACATTTTTACTGATGCTGTTCTTTCCTTTTTTTAAAAAAAGTATTATATACCCTATTCTCTATCAAAATGGGACAACAGAAATAGTTGGAGAAGACCATATGTTAGTTCCTATAAAAATCATGTTAAAATGGGCCTATCATGGTAACATGAACTATCATTTAAATGAAAAGGTACTGTTTTGTGTCTGAAATGAAGATTGCTCCTATATATTTAGCAGGGTGTGCCTGAGGCAGGTTTCTTACCTGAGTGGCCTCACATATTCCTATTAACCTGCACAACCTTGCGGACACCAGTCTGTGGTTGTTTTCTGGACTGTTTGGCTGTCTCTCTGAATCTCCTTGGGTTTTGTTATCTCTTCTTCCTTTTTATACTGACCTAACTTAGGGTGGACATTCTCCTCCCTTGGGATTTACTACCTCTCAAAACCTGCTGATAGCTCAGTGATGGGTCAGTTCTGAATCAATGGTACACAACAACAAGAACAACTTACCTTAGGAAGCCCTGGTGATATAGTGGGTTAAGCATTGGGATGTTATATGAAAGATTGATAGTTCAAATGCACTAGCCACTCTGTGGGGGAAAACTGAAGATTTGAAAGCGGGAAACCCTCAAGGGAGAGTCCACTGGGTCCCCTAAGATCTCTGTGAGTCAGAAGTGATTTGCCAGTAGGTGTTTTGCTTACCTTGAAATAACCTAAATCTGTTTCTGAGTGACTTCTGAGACTTTGGGAGCCACAGGAAAACCTATTACAGCAAGTAGAAATGAGGGTTTTAGCCTTTTCTATTTTAATTAACATGATTTTCTATGACAAGAGAGGCAACTAGCAGAGGACAAGAGTATTTACGGGAGTGAGGATAAAGATAGAGATATAGAACGGAGAGAGCAAAAGCAAGAAATAAGCATAGATCTCTTCTGTCTGTGTGTATGTGGGTTGTGAGTGGCTCACTTTTAAAAAGTTATTTACATACAAGTTGATGTTGTGGAGATAAATATATTTTTGCCATTTGTTTTGCAGATTGTGGGATTAGTGATATGCTTTCCTGAAGAAACAGAAAGCCAAAGATGTCTAGACACCAGTCACTGGCCTTGACAGTGACTACCGTTTTGGGCGTGGTTATAGGGGGCTTTGTCTTGTGGAAAGGCATTCAGCGCCGAAGGAACAGAACGAGCTGTGTGCCCCAGCAGCAGCAGAAAGAGCCGGGAGGCAGAGAGCTGCCCCCGTCAGAAGATGTCCAGCTGCACTCTAGTGCCCCCAAAGCTTCATGGGAAGAGAGGATCCTCAAAGCCAATGTGGTGATTGTGTCTCAGGTGGAGGAGTGGGATCAAATTGAGCCTTTGCTCAGAAGCGAGTTAGGAGATTTCCCAGTGCTTGGAATCGACTGTGAGTGGGTAAGTTAAGAGACAAAACTGAAATAAAGAAATCTCTTCTTTTTTCCCCCCCTAACTAGGGAACTTGGATAGTCAAGAAGAAAATAAGATTAAAAGAACATTAACTTTTTCTTGACTTACTTGCAAGTAGATTTTAGGAAACAGAAGCTGCTGCTTTTCAAAGGATAGTGAAATGTCTGCAATCATAGATGGAATCTGGCATCAGACAACTTCTGTGGCTTTGACAGGTCATGTAATCAATCAGTCTAGTTGAGGATTTTCTTCTCTTTTACTGACCTTTCCAAGCATGATGACCCTCTTCAAGGAATAGCCTCTCCTCACAACATGACCAAAGTGTTTGAGACAAGGTTTTTTAATCTTTGCCTCCAAGAAGCACTCTGGCTGTACCTTCTCCAAGACATATCTGTTTGTTCTTTTGACTGTGCATGGGGTATTCAGTACTCTCTCCAATACCACAAGCTAAAGGCGTCAATTCTTCTGTCACCCTTATTCATTGGTCAGCTCTCACATGCATTAAAAAGACTATGGCCTGAATCAGGAATTTTACTCTTCACTGACATCTCTGCTCCTCAGTAATAAGGAGAGGTTCTTGGAGACTTTCCCAGTGCCATGCATTTCCTGATATGACTGCTAGTACCAAGGGTATTGATTGAGTATCCAAATAAGATGAAGTCATTGAGAGTTTACCTTTTTTTCTGCATTTATCATGATGTTGCCTATCGATCCAGTGGTGAGAATTTTTGTTTTCTTCACATTAAGATGAAATCCCTATTGAAGACTATAGTCCTTGATCTGCAGTAAGTATTTCAATTCCTCCTCACTTTCAGCAAGCAAGGTTGTGTAGTCTGCTTAATGCAGGTTGTTTATGAGTCTTCCTCCTATTGTGATGCCACATTCTTCTTCGTAGAGTTCGACTTCTTTTTTTGGGGGGGGTGAGGTTCAATTTTATATATTTTGTGTGTGTACTGTAAAATCAGATCTGACTGGTACAGGAGGAGACTGTCCCTCCTTCTCCAGCAGAGCATCTGTTGGATTCGAACTGCACACCTCTGGGAAGAGTTTGACTTCTAAATGATTTGCTCGTCATACAGATTGAATAAGTATAGAGAGAAGCTACAGCCCTGATTCATATCCTTCTTAATTTAAAACTGAAGTGTTCCCTTGCTCTGTTCTCACAACAGCCTCTTGGTTTAGGTATAGATTTCCCATAAGCACAATTAAGTGTTTTTCATTCTCATTCTTTTCAATGTTAGCCATAATTTGTTATGATCTACATAGCCAAACACCTTTGCATAGTCAATAAAACACAAATAGACATTCTCTCTTTTTTGAAATTTTATTGCATTAGTTATCTGAATCAATTTCAGCTCATGACTTCCTTTCCCTTTTCCCAGCCCACCCTGCAATGCACCACTTGTTCCAGATTGTTCTCATACATATAATGCATAATCATCTATTCTTTTCGGACAGTTCTTCCCCTAATCTGTTCTGAGGCAGTGCTCATTATCTATCCATACGTTCTCCATTCCCTTCCCAAATCACCCCCATGTCTACTGTTTTAATAGCAGCAGAGTTATACAAATAGACATTCTTCTGTTATTTTCTTCTGACCAGCAACTATATCCCTGGTGCCATGGCCTCTTCTAAACCCAGTCTGAGCTAGTAAAGTAGAGGGTCAGTAGGAAAGAGGAAAGCCCTCAACAAGATGGACTGACAGAGTGGTTACAACAAGGAGTTTCAGCACATCAAGGATTGTGAAGGTGGCACAGGATCATGCAAGGTTTTGATTTGTTGCATGATGGTTGCTGTGAGTCTAGCTTACGGGGCAACAGCTGGTGATGTTTTGTTCTTGTTATGTGTCATCAAGTCGACTACAACTCATAGCAACTCTATGAACGATTCTGAACTTTCTGACTCCATTGACACAGTCACTGTGTCAGTCTATCTCATCCAGGGTCTTCCTTTCCTGCGCTGACCCTCTACTCTTTCAAGCATGATTTCCTTCTCCAAGGATTGGTCCCTCCAGACAACATGACTAAAGTATGTGCGAGTGAGACAGAGTTTCAAAATGCTTGCCTCTACGGAGCACCCTGGTTTCACCCTCTCCAGAACAGACCTGTTTGTTCTCTTGGCAGTCCAGTAAGTTCAGTACTCTTCTCCAGAGCTATAACTCAAAGGCATCGATTCTTCTTCTGTCATCCTTATTCACTGTCAAGCTCCCAGATACTTAGCAAGTAATAGAGAATCAGGTGCACCTAGTCTCAAATCATTCTTTACTCCTTGCTGCCCTCATAGAGTCATTTGAAGAATCACAGTGCTTTTCCAAGAGTTTGAATCAACTGCGGGTGACAGGGAGCTCTGGTGATGTAATGGTAAGAAGCTATGCTGCAATCCTGAAGGCACGCGGTTCAAATCCACCAGCTGCTCCACAGGAGTGAAATGGGCAATCTTCTCCTGTGAAATTAATTACCTAGTGAAACTCAGAAAGGAGGATCTTGAAATTACTTCTCTCTAAATTTATCTCTGCAGTACAGAAAAAAGTGTTTGAAATTTTGTCTCTAATGGCTTACGATGTCATCTCTTTAAAATTCATACTTCTGTGAATATTTTAAAATGTATATATTAGGGAATACTGGTGGGCATAGCCCACAGGACATTTTACTGCTAACCTCAAAACCATGCCTTTCTGGGGATTTGAATCCATCAACCACTCCTATGGAGAAAGACAGGAAATCTCTTCCGTTAAGATTTACGATTTTAGAAGACTGGCAAAAGGTTAACACAGAATGCTACCAAGAATGTAACCAATGGGACCAACTCAAAGGCAGTGATTTTCTTTTTTTTTTTTTAACTTTTATTGAAATTATAAGCACTTGGATTCCTTGTGGGAAAATATTCATAGTACACTGGACCTTAGACACAGTCACATACAAGTAAAATGTTGCTGAAGATTATTTGAAAAAGTCTAGAACAGTACATTGACAAGAGAACTGCCAGAAAGTCACACTAGTTTTTAGAAGGAGACCATGTCACAAGGATATCATTGCTAATGTCAGATGGATCTTGACTGAAAGCAGACAATAAATACCAGAAAGATCTGTGTGTTTTATTGACTATACAAAGGCATTTGACTGTGTGGGTCATAACAAATTATAACTAACATTGAGAAGAATGAGAATTCTAGAACACTTAATTGTGTTCATGTGAAACCTAGATCTAGACCAAAAAACTGTTGTTCAAACAGAGAAAGGGAACACTGAATGGTTTAAAATAAAGAAAAGTAAAGTATGTGTCTAGACCAATGGAACAGAATTGAAAACCCAGAAATGGACCCATCTATCTATGGTCAGCTGATATTCAACAAGAACATAAAACCTATCAAATGGGGAAGTGATAACCTCTTCAACAAATGGTCCTGACAAAACTGGACTACTTCCTGTAGAAAGCTGAAATAGGATCCATATCTCACTCCATACACAAAAAATCAACTCAAGATGAATCAGAGACCTCAGAATAAAGCCCCAAACCATAAAGCTCGTAAGAGACAAACTTGGACCAAGCTTAGAAGGCCTAGGCTATGGCTTAAAGGGACTGCCAAATACAGCCAGAAATACACAATCTGAAGAGGATAAAATTGATGAATGGGACCTTAAAAAGATTAAATCTCAGTTTTCATCAAAAACTTTTCCAACAGGATGAAAAGAAAACCTACTGAATGGGAACAAACATTTGACAACACCATCACAGATAAGGGTCTCATAATGAAAGTTTCAGAATTCTACAGGGCCTCCAGAAGGAAAAGGCTAATAATCCAATTACAAAATGGGCAAAAAACATAGACTTTTCACAGAGGAGAACATTCAGAGGGCCAACAGACACATGAAGAAATGCTCCAGATGCATTTCAAATCAAAAGATGCAAATCAAAACCATAATGAGATCCCATTATACTCCAGTAGCAGTGGCAAAGTTTAGCTAGACAGCAAAGAATAAATGTTGGGAAGGATGTGGCAAGATAAGAACTCTTCTACATTGTTGGTGGGATTGTAAGATGGTACAACAACTCTGGAAGACAGTTTGGCTTTTCCTCAAAAAGTTGAACATAGAAATTCCATATGACCCAGCTATTCCACTGCTTGGAATATACCCTGAGAAAATGAGAACTGAGGCACAAGCAGAGACTTGCACACCAATATTCATAGCAGCATTATTTACCTAGCTAGAACATGGAAACAACCTTAATGCCCAACCACAATGGAATGGATTGAGAAATTATGGTACATTCACACAATAGAATACTATGCAATACACAGGATTTTGTAAATTGCTACCTAACATGGGAGGGACTGGAGAGCATTATGCTAAGTGAACTAACTCAGTCTTAAAAAGACAAATACTATATAGGACCATTACTGTAGAGTGTGTACGAGCATCCAGGGAGGGGGGGGAGGTGGCTTAAATACAGGGTTGCACAATCTGATGGGTGGAGGGAGGGGTTTTGTCAAGGAAGGGGGAAGGTCCAGTGTGAAAAACAATGTATATGAACTTTTTATATAAACCAGTATAAAATAAATTTTTTTTAAAAAAGAAAGGTATTTGTCAAGGCTGTATATTTTCTCCATACCTATTCAATCTATATATTGAGTAAATTTGAGAGGCTGGACTATATAGGAAGAAGAATATGGCCTCAGGATCAGAGGAGGACTCGTCAACAACCTATGTTAGGCTGCAGGTTACCCTTGCTTACCAGAAGTGAAGAAGACTTGAAGCACCTGACTACAGCCTTCAACATATTACATCAACAAAGTGAAAATCCTCACCACTGGACTAGGGGCAACATGATGTTTGTTGTCCTGTTAAACTTTGCTATTGTTGCTGGGTTAAAAACTCTAATCCTTGCTATTGCATATGAATTTTATATGTACATTTTTTTAACTATTGTGATTTGAGTGAAAGTTTACAGATGAGTTGACTTCCCATGCTACATCTTGTTTTGTGACA